ACCGCTTCATTAGCTTTGATTCGATGCTAATTTAACACTAGCAATTCCTTAATGTGGAACGGTTTTCTTAAAATTTACTTCAATCAAGGCATATTGAAACTAACGTCTACATCTCTTGGTACTTTTTCGAGTTTTTGAATTTCTGGTTTTTTGGTCGCTTAATGGGGTCTAATGCACAAAACGGCCCAAAATCAAAATTTTTATATCTTTTTAGCTAAAATTAATGCGCCAGAATTTGATTGGCAAATATTAGCCAATCAAATTCAAGCAACCTGGTCAGGCAAGTCAGTCAACCGTTCCAGCAGAAAAATTACGAACTGGTACAGCTTTCTGATAGTCACGGGATAGTCTAATCAGTGAGCGACAAGAGTTTTGACTTCCAAATAATTGTAGGATGTTACATGTTTTTTCGAGCTTCGGAAAATGAATTTTCAAAAAGTTTTTTGCTTTCTTGTTTACACATTTTTTCTAACCCATTATGCCATTTTGAGATCAGTGAATTTTTCCTACAAAGTTAACCATGTTTTGGTTTATACATACGAAGTTCCAGCTGGTAACTTTGCTCATTTGATACACCTGATTTCCATTCTTCGGACGCCAAAGTTCCGTGTTGCGAATGCGGCCAGGACCCGTGCTTTTGGCAGATAGAATCTTTTCGGCTTCAAAAGCTTTAATTGTCTGAATATAGTTTGTCTGTTTTTTTTACTAGTGGGCTTGCTTGTTACTATCTTTTACTATAATTAAAATTCATTTTGATATATTCTAATGTTGCAGGAATTTCGGTATTAGGAAATTTGCAGGGATTTTTTGTACGATTTCAGAAATCTGTCTAAAAGTTTGTTTTTCAATCTGTCTTTTCATGGTTGTTTTTTTTTTCATGAAGGTAGCAACGACTTCAAATTGAAAGATTTGAATTTATCTGTGTTTTGATTTTATGGAATTGCAAAAGTTGGAAAAAATCCAAGTTTTTTTTCGCATTTGATTTCTGCCCCTTGCTTAGTTTGTCAAATGGGCGATTTTACTTTTAAATATAGCTTTTGCCAGTGCGATCAAGGTAGTGCAACCGGACACTAGATTTTTTTTTCGTAAATAATTTTGTTCACAGAAGGTCAAATATTAGGAATGGCAAACATGCTCAATTTCTTGAAAATTAAAAAAAAACTACCATCACTTAAGTTAAGTAGTAATTAGGTGCAGTTCCTTTCAGGCAGTAATTGTTTTTTTTTTCAAATACATTTATTGAAAAAGTTGAATTTTTCGGATTCTTGGTTTTTGTCCTAGTTTCTGTCGTTTTACTTCCCGTTTTTTTTTTGAATGACTTTTATGGTTTCATTTCCAAAATATGAGTTTCATTTTGATTTAAATAAATTTTACTGCAATTGAAAGATTTTTAATGTGTAAATTTACCAAGTTTGATTTTGGACAATTTTTTTTGTTTTTTTTTTCGGTTGAAAGGTTTTTCCTGTTTTTTTTTGGATTTGTCAACTTTTATTGGGTAACTAAAATGCTCGCTATCGTTGCAAAACAGATATTGATCGTGTTGTAAACTTTGTGGTGCTGATCATTGGTTGTTGTCTTTGAGTGAGGGCCCACAATAGTGAGGTCCTGTGCTGCTGAAGGTGAGAAGTATTCTAGGATTCTTTTGCCCGTTTTTCTTTTTATGTTCGCAGAAAACCGTGAATTGCTTGTTTTGTCAAAGCGAGGCCTCCTTGAAAGACTATGAAGATGGTTGTTCTTTGAATGAATGTTTTGTTCCGGTTAGTTCAAATGCTGCTGCGGAACCAAGCTGTTTAGAACGTTGAGACACAGCAGAAAAAGTCCCATTTCAGTGAATTCGAATCAGTTTTTGGTGCATTTTGACATTTTTCACTTTTCTCCCGATTTTTCCGTTTTCTCTTGCGAGGTTTTGCTTTCCCAACTTGAAGGCATCAGGGATTGCTGCTATACAAATGTTCCAATTTTATGTTTGACATATTTCCGTGCAATCACCTTCAAATGTCCCATTAATTACCAGATTACATATCTGCACCTTAACGAGTTTTTAACGCAGTCTCGCTAGCAGGTTTCATGCTTGTGTCCATAAAAAGACCCAAACCTGCTTTGTTAGTCAGTTTTGTTCTGTGCCTTTACCAGCATCCAATTCTGTTATCCAGCCTTGTATACCGTTATCTGATCCTGGTTCACTGAGTCTTTTTCTGTATCTTCTAGTCCCAAAACAACGCAAGAAAAATTAAATGCCTGTTTTTTAGGGAGGCTCACAAACTTTTTTTGAGAATATTTTTGTTTTGGCTTAACGAGCGTCTGCTAAAAAGATTTTAGGCTTCGGTACCGCTTCATTAGCTTTGATTCGATGCTAATTTAACACTAGCAATTCCTTAATGTGGAACGGTTTTCTTAAAATTTACTTCAATCAAGGCATATTGAAACTAACGTCTACATCTCTTGGTACTTTTTCGAGTTTTTGAATTTCTGGTTTTTTGGTCGCTTAATGGGGTTTTATGCACAAAACGGCCCAAAATCAAAATCTTTATATCTTTTTAGCAAAAATTAATGCGCCAGAATTTGATTGGCAAATATTAGCCAATCAAATTCAAGCAACCTGGTCAGGCAAGTCAGTCAACCGTTCCAGCAGAAAAAAATATTAGCCGAAGTAATTGAAAATGCGAATCTTAGTCAAATAATAAAACTAATTTCTAGTGTTTTTTCGTGAAATTATACCCAAAGAAAAAGTTCAGTAAAACGGTTTCAACGCGAAAAAATTTCTATCGTTTTCATCATCTCGGTCAATAATTTTATCTGCTTTAAATTTTATTTGAAAAGCCGGACCATGTTGTTTGCATTTGGATGGCTAATGAACCAATCGGATTCAACCATATATTTACTTAAGATCAAGATGTAGAAATACGTATTTTGGGCCGTTTTGTGCATAAGACCCGCTTAATGTGCCATGCTGATTTTGTTGTATCGCAACTGATGCAAATCTCCGCTGAATCGAATATGTTTTTCTTTTGTCTTTTCAACCATCAACTCTTCGTAAAGTGCTACACCAATGATCACGTCAACTGCTGTTGGCTGTGCATCATTGAATTCGTGATTGGATGATTGAAATTCTCTACCTATTTTTTAATCTATTCGTCGATATTGGATTTTCCAGGCAAGTTGCTATTTAGCTTATGAGGAGTGGGTCTTATGCACAAAACGGCCCAAAATTAAAATTTTTCCATGTCTTAGCTAAAACTAATGCAGAAGAATTTGATTGGCTGATAATAGCCAATCAAACTCAAGCAACATTGCCAGGCATGTCAATCAACCATTCCAGCAGAAAAAAAATCGTAGCCGAACTTACTGAGAATGTTAATCTTAATCAAATAATAAGGATCTACTTAACAATCTCCCCCCCCCCTAAGGTACCTACTTAAGAATCTCCACCCCTATAAATAAATACAGTAAATTAGCCTTGAGCTTTCTATTGAGAATTATAATTTTGCTGCATTCTGATTGGTTGATAAATCGACCATTTTGACCTACTTAAGAATCTCCCCCTTTCTTGAAAGGGGTGGAGATTGTTAAGTAGATCCAATAATAAAATTGATTTCAAGTTTTTTTTTGTGAAATTAAACCCAAACAAAAAATGTTCAGAAAAATGGTTTCAACGCGAAAAAGTTTCTATCGTTTTGGTCATTTCGGCCAATAATTTTATCTGCTTCAAATTTTAATTGAAATGCCCAACCATGTTATTTGCATTTGAGTGGCTAATGAACCAAACAGATTGAACCACATATTGACTTAAGATCAAGAAATAGAAATACTTATTTTGGGCCGTTTAGTGCATAAGACCCTGAGGAGTTAAGCTGCAACTCCAATTCAGTCCATCGGTCGAATGAGAATACTAACTTGTCTCAAATTTGCTTCAACTCCGTATATACTTGTTGGTTCTGTCTCTGGGTTCGTAAGCGTTGAATGGTGGATTTTTTACCAATTTTTCTGACGATGCTAATTTACTTCTTACGTATATGAACAGTTTCTTTGATGACCTCAGGTGGTATGATGGCAGTTTGAAGCAAAACTTTATCAAAAATTTACCTCTGCGACAGCCTGCTCTGCGCGGTGACTGGTTGGTTTGCAGGCTAGTTCCTGTGAATACAAGGGTTATGCTTTTATCCACTTTCTTAGCATCGAGATCCAGGCAGTACCCAGTTTGATGTACTGATGTAGGTGTGAAGACACGAGGTTAAATATGTTTCAATTCAAAGGCAACTGTATCCTTAAAAATACTAAATAAAATGCACTCTTTTGTTTCAGTGTGCGCCAGACAATATAGCAATCACGCAGCAAGGTCAAATGCAACAGGTCCGCAGACGGAACCAAAGACTTTATATAAACTCAAACTTGTCCTTATGTCAGTACAGGTCGAAAGCAAGTGAATAGTTTCGTAGGATAACGCGATCCGATCCGATGAACTTCTTCTGGCGGCTTTTTAGATCGTGACAGTTCTCGTGGACCATCGGATTCTCGCCTGTTCATGATGAAAATATCTCTAATATTTTCAGCAGCGTTAGCGAAATCGCATCTCCCGTCCAAAGAACTCAGTTCTGCGTGAAACTTCTCGATTGCTTCGTTATCTTTTTGCTTCCTTCCGTAAAACAATCCTCGCTCATGCGCGATGTTACGGTCTCGCTTGAAAATCTGCTGCATTTTTCCAGAACTCGAAGATATCTCTCGGTTTTAATGCTAACCTTCGGCTTACGAGCCTTGAAGATTCTCTGCGCTTCGTCCCCGATGCAGAGGTACAAATTAGATTTCAGCTTTTCTCCGACTCCATGTGATTCTTCCGTTCACGTCCCTAGGTAACGATGCTATCGCCGTTTCGTCCAAGGTAGGATCGAAATAAAAATCATATGGGTCAATATCATACTTAGCAGTCATTCCCCAGTTGAAATTTGTTATCCATTCTTCCCAATATGTGGGTAGCTCCGGCGTGCGAGCGTCCCAAAATGATATTATCCCCCACCCCACTTTTCTTCCCCACCCCACTTTTCTTTCAGCTGGCTGCGCCATGATGTAGGTGTTCTTCCCCCCTCCCCACTTTTCTTTAGCTGGCTGAGGTGTGAAGACACGAGGTTGAATATGTTTCAATTCAAAAGCAACTGTATCGTTCAAAATACTAAATAAACTGCGCCACACAATATAGCAATCACAAGGTTAAATGCAGCAAGTCGGCAGACGGAACCAAAGACTTTATATAACTCAAACTTGTCCTTATGTCAGTACAGGTCGAAAGCAAGTGAATAGCAGCTATTTCATTTTGCTGAGTTGAGCTTGGTATTTGTTTGACAAGGTTTTGTAGTTGTCTGTTTATTTCCCGTCGTAAAATGGAAGTTTCTCGCTTGATATCTTTCATCCAGAAACTATTTGCCTAACCGTAGATTCAAACGGATTTTGTTTACCCCGGATTTTTTCCAAAAAAATAATGAAACTCTTTTTCTGCTTTTTCATTCAAGTTTTATAATTAACATCAATAGAGATTGTTGCTTTTAAGGAATCAAACTATCTTACCGGCCCCTAAGAAAATTTTTAAACCTTCCTGCAGATCAATAAAACTACAGGATGAAGACAGTACACCCTCAATATAGAGGTTGCAGGCCAGTTACCCTAAAGATCTCTTCAGACTTGGAAATGGGGATGAGACTAAGTTTCTAATTTGAACAAGAGGTAGCAGGAACTTATCCGGCCGGTAATTGACTGAGTGCAAGTCAGACGGTGTGTAGCAGCTGAAAATACTTTTTCTCCGTGTTCTCTGTAATTCGACGGTTTTTCCCGATACACCATGCGTAATATCGACCGAAGTTGTTCAGGATTCACTTGAGCTTATAACCAAGTTGTTTTTAGTTCTCACTATATTTTTCGTCACATGATTTTTTTTAGTCTTGTGACGATAGCTGAAAAGACTTATTAGACCGGCATATGCTACTATGCTGGTAAAAACTCTGCAGTTGAGTTAAAAATCAACTATACCATTGGCAGATCTCATATCATGCTGCAATATCACATGCTTGTTTTGAACTCCTTATTTTTGAATTCCAATTGGACGAAATCTCACGCCTTCAGTCTCGTGTCTTACCGTGTGCAGCTTGCACAATTCAATTCTAACCACATTTTGTGCAGAAATGGTACCTTGCTTATACCATACCATTTCAGTTATACCGCTATATTCCAAATTGATGGTACATAGTTATGGTAGTATATGAAGTAAAGAGTTAGCTAGCAGCTATTTATTCTGCTTTACTGTTTGATCTATTATGAACCGCATTTATACTGACAGGGCGAGTTCTAGTTTCTAGTTTGCTTTAATTTTCTGCATCTGCAAAAATTGCACAATTTTCTAAATGCACAATGAAAAAAAAACATGTCTTTTTAACACTGGCAATTTCTGTAGAATAATATTTTGCTGTAAATTACAGTACGTTGGAACAATTTGCATGTGAATCTCTTCTGGTTGCTGGACCACCTGAACACTACGTTGAGTCATTTTTAGCTCGCATTATGGGACAAATGTCTCTGCCCGAATGATGCAGGCGCAATTTTTGATTAGATGAAGGCGACAGTTTCATCCAAAAACACTTTTTCCTTCTTTTTATTCAGCCAAGGGTGTGCATTTGTCACTTTTTAAAATTAGAAGTGGAGTGATCACATTAGTCGATAGTCGTTGGCTTTAAATTATTTCTTACTGAATTACATGTATGGTTTTGTATTAAATTTTACTTGTATGAATAAGTTAACGGAGTTCCTTCGTACCAATATGGTTTCAAGGTGATTTACGGCTTCTTAGGCATTATTGAATCAGTGCTATAAAAGTGAAATACCATTGCTTTTGTACATATATTAAATTCAAATGCGAATCAAAAATTTGCGAGTTTCCAATAAGTATTGACATGGGACTCGTTGTCAAATTCTTACCATAGATTGAATGCATTATAATGCATCTCTTTGTTTTGTTTCAGATAGTCTTTGTTGATAACTTTCAATTTTGTTACCTGATATTTTGACCCTGGAAACATCACAAAACAGAAAGAATTCTAAAATCTATTTGGAATTCCGAGGCCATTTCGAAATCTGTCAGTTTTATCTTCTGAGGATTTCTTACTTCGAAAGAGTTAATAATAAAAACTGTCAATTTATTTTTCCTGGATTATATTTTTGCGGCAATTTTATTCTTTAACCTTTTCATTGCTTTGTTCAGTTCAAAGTTGCGTTTGAACTGACTGAATAATTCTGCCTTTTAATTATTTTGAGCCTTTTAATTTGACTGTTCTGTTTGTGCCATTGGGACTGTTAGACCTCATCGCGTCTTAGCTTAATCTTAGCCTGTGTTTTCCGTGGGAATTTTCCATCGATATCTCGATTACATAACCTTGCTTCCACCTCTGTCTTCTGCATTTGCAGTAGTCTATAGACTATTTGATTGTGTTTTTGTTACGTAACAATGGTGATGTTTGTGTGCAACATGTGCGGGGAGAGCCTGAAAAAGAACAAAGTGGAGGAGCATTACAGGTGAGCTCTCATAAGGTTTCGTTTAGTTTAGGGGGGGGGGGCAGCTGGGGAAAAAGAATTTGCTAAGCAATCTGAATATATTACCGGAGAGTGAATTGTTACTTAAAGCAGTGAAGTTGAGTTCTGTGTTCATGAATCAGGGGTGAAAAATGATGCGCCGCTATGGAAAAATCAATTTATTGTTTCGACCATTTAAAATTGGGAGAAACTTGGTCTGCGGTTATATTGAAGTATTTCTTGTTTTCCACGCGAATTCAGTTGCCATAAATAATCATCGGAATGGGTCGAGTCATATATCAAATTGAAGCCCTTCAGTTTTATGCAGTCGAGAAAAGTTTTTGACTTTCAGTCTAATTTCGAGAGACTGTAATAGGCTTATAAGTAGTCTTATAAATCAAGTTAATCCGTGAAAGCTTAGTTTCACTCCAGTAAAGTTTGTTTCTGAAAACTCTTTTTGCACCTTCTTGGTTATAAATTTTGAAAAACTTCGTTCATTTTCATTTTTTTCCCATTTTATGGGGAAGTTTGTTATCAAATATACCTAAATTACTTTTGACGCCGACGTTTTAGGCTTTCATTTTGATCCACTCATCCCACCATGAACATAAAACGGCGCATTTTGAAGAAATAAAAAATTTGTTGTCGGAGCTTTCTGTTCTACTTGCACAGCAACTGGCAATCCTTGTTTCATTTCGAGAAGTTGTAACTTCATCGAGTGGCCTGAAGAATTTTGTTGTCACAATGATTTGATAAGTGTTAGCAGTTGTGGAGCCATTTTTTCATTGGTTTTTTTAAAAGTTACAAAGAAAAATTCTTGGTAACTCCAAGTTTATAACACAGAGGTGAATCTGAGCAAGCACCACTTGAGCTACAACAAATACAGGGTTAAAACAGCACGACACTCATCAACTATCCAAATGACTTCAAACTGTGTAACATTCAAACAAATGATCAAGAAAAAAGTACCCATTGGCGATGAGTTTGCGCATTCAAAAATTTGGCGCCAGGGCCTTGTCGATTTCATAAATAATATCGGAAAATTGTAGGAAACAAGATATTTAATAAATAAACGGACGTTATTAAAGCCGGCAGCCAAAAAGCTGAAATTCAAACGAATTGTTTCGTCAAAAAAAAATTGATAAAAAACCATATAGTGCCCATAAAGTATCCACGAGTGCCATATTTCCTACTAAAGACAACGCGGTATACACATTTCGAAAACTAAACCGAGAGCTTAATCAATAACAATTATGCCAAAAAACCATCAGCCAAAAAATTAAAATAACGAATATCTCTAATTATACATGCAAACAGATCTATCAAATTTTATGTAGATATATTTGAAAAATACATGCCCAGACAAAAAAAATGTGAAAGTAGCATCAGAAGAAAACTTAACAAGCAGTAACAAAGCCGAATTCTGAGCATATTTCCTTCAAGTTGAAAAAAAAATTCAAAACGTATTGAAACTATTAAAAACACGAACTAACCAATATGAGGCCACAAAGGCGATAAAAGTTAGGCCGAAACATAATCCGCCGAAAAAAGGGAAAAACAACAAAAAAATTTTAAATTAAATCGAGTTGGAAAAATTACAACCAATATATAACGCAAGTTTCGAAAAGGAAGGATATTTGAAATTATCAAACTCAATCCATGCTTTCTATTTGCAACCGAGAGGGGTAGAATTTGGTACGAGGACAAAGAGGCGAAGGAATCCAGGAGATGAGTCCTGTGAACAAAATTATTTACAGAAAAAAGTCTAGTACTCGTTTGCAATAGCCTTGCTTATCACAAGTGTAATCAAAAGAAGGATAGCTGATTGAATTGCAAGTAGCACACAAAATTCCGACCGCAAACATTTTTTAAAAATAAAAACAAAAGAACCCGTTTTTTTCAAGTTGTGTCGTTTTTTGTCCGTGTTATGATCTGAGCGAAAGCCTAGTCTTGGGTATATTCGATAGTAATAGTAAATTAGGAATGCGCCAAAATAGTCTTTTTTGAACTGTGAATAGAAAAAGAATGAAAAGTTAACTTAAAATAAACAATAAAACGTTAACGATAAAAAACTTCCAATTCCAAGATGCTAAAAGAAACTTGAGAACTATTTTTTTATGGAATAAAAATTAATGTTTTCACCGCTTAACTAAAAGCTTATCCTCGTATTATAAGACTTTTTGCTCACTTTATTTGCTCCAAATTAGACTAAAAACTAATTACCGGTAATTTTAAACCGATAATTTTTGCGACATCGAGAAAATGCTTGCCGTTCGAATCAAGAACTTTTAAAAAACTAAAACACACCCGAAGACCAAGTTCGTCTACACTTTCAGTGGTCGGAAAAAATTTGTAAGTTATTCCAGTAAAATTATTTCTCGAAAGTTCTCTTAGCACCTTCTTGGGAATCGAAGTTTTTATCGCTAATCTCAGCAATTGGTATTCGAAAATGCTTCGACAATAAGCTCTAATATGCTGGGTTGTCAAATAATTAATTTGTTAAACTCTAACTGGTATGATCGATTGACTAATTAATTGTTTAGGTTCAAGTGTCGCAACTGCGAGACTGTCTCGTGCATGGACTGTGGCAAGGACTTCTGGGGCGATGATTACGTACAGCACAATAAGTGCATATCTGAGCAGGAGAAATACCAGGGCACACCCACTGACTACAAAGGTACTACTCAGTCGAGAACAGAATTTGCTGTGGGTATAAAACGAGCTGAATCAAATGGGAAAATATGATTACTTGAACGATTATGCAACTCGCAAAAAATAATGATGATGTTAACAAAGGTAAAGCATTGCAGCTCTCCAGGGCCTTTTTTGGTCCTTATTCAAATTTTAGCTTATAACCGCCTTCACCCAAATTCGAACTTCGTGCTTGTTATTGCTGCCAACGTAACATATTCGCCCTTAAAATTTGGGTAGAATGGCTGCAAAAGAATTTTAGAAAGATTATTGGGTTTTTGTCCTTGTGGGAAAATTTAGAGGTCACAATTCAGAGGGTATTTTTCGTATTAATTTAAATACACTATTGAAAAAAATGTAAAATAGTTGTAAATTTTGATTATCTGCAGGGGACAACAAGCAGGAGCAGTGGGTGGCCAATGTAACCACTGTGATAGCCAGCTACTCTGGCAACCCCAAAGTGCGCTCCCTTCTTGAGATGTGTGTCCAGTGTCCCAATCTACCCCGCAAACAGAAGAAGTTTGTCAACTTCGTCCGATCCAGTTTCAATGAGAGAAACCAGACGGTGGTCGGAGAAGCGTGGGAGATTATTGAAAAGGCTTCCAAGTTGGATATCAATGACAAGACGACCCCAGCCAGTGACAAGCCTGGTACGCCAAATGGTAGATTAATTTGATGCTCCAAATTGGACCTTAATAATTTTTGACTTCCTATCCAAATAGCTCCATTTTGAAAATAGCTATAGTTAACCATAGATTATAGCTTAACTGTAAAAATTATGCAACCGTAGAAACAAGCGGTTGACTATGAGTGGAAGTTTTTTGATAAGGTCGCCCTGGTGAAGTTTTCAAGCTAGAAACACGTATCTTTATATTTTCAAAAAAAAATAGTTAATGCACAGTCGTTTTAACGATCATCCTAGTTTTAATGCTGTTGGTAGCTTAAGCTGGCTGTTTAGTGCTGGAAACAACTGTTTTTTATGGAACAGCTATTTGACTCCAACTTAAGAATTGAACAATGTTTAGAAACAGAAACAAAAGACTCAAAGGTACAAACCGAAAGCGATTCAAAAAGTGGTGAAAATGCGCCCACTGAAAATGAGGTGAACGAAAATATGGATGAAAATGGGAATGAAAGCGGAGACAGTGAGAGTGAAGAGACGGGCAAGATTATGGAAAAGAAAAGGGAAAAAACTTTTGACGGCGTAGAGAGCGAAAAGGCGAAGAAAAAGAGACTGAAGCAAGAGAAAAAAGAACAGTTAGCGATTCTTCAAAATGCCGATGTGAGTTCGATGCGTAACATTTAAGGTCATATCAAAGTTATTTTAAATTTACTTGAAGTCTGTATGTGAGGCTCATTTTCGTGGAATTCTCCTCTCAGTTTTGTTTTCTACATATGAAGATTGTACCATTGAAAATCAAGTTCAGTTTTTGAAGTAAACGGCCGTAGTGTTTATTTTTATTTTTTAGGGCAAAAAGATGTCGAAAAAACAGTTGAAGAGGCTGAGAGAGGAGTCGATATCAGTGGAACTGGGTGCAGTTGCAGAAGAAGTGCCGGCTCTGAATGGACTAAACGGAGACGCGACTAAAAAAGACAAGAAGAACAAAAAGAAACAACGAGAGCACAAAGAAAGTGTTCACGAGGTTATTAATGAGAACGGCGAGGAGGTCGAAAATGAAATGAATGGGAAACAAGACTTCCTCGCTCAGATTCGATTAGACGAGAAGTTGATGAAAGGCATTCCGAAAAATGAGAATATTGAAGGAGATGAAGACAACGACGAGGAAGAAAAACGTGATAGGCATTTCAATTGGCATAAAGCAATCAAAACTGCGCTCAAAGCCGAAGATGATTTATCGCTGCCGATGAAAAAATTACGAAAGAAAGTTTTGGCAGAGTTTATGACGTATGGAGGTGACGGGAAGTTTAAAAATGAAAATGAGATATGGGCACTTTTTGACAAGAAACTGCACTCTTACCCGAAAGTAAAGATTTTAAAAGACAAGGTCACTTTTATCAAATAAAACTGAGGACGCTGACAGTTTAAATTATGGAACTATGAAACTGAAGAAACCATACGATAGTTGAGATGATATTGGGCTAGTTGTTGTTTTCCAGAACTTAATTACAGTTCGATGCATTGATGTGATTACGTTCTGTTATATTATGTTATATAAAATTGTTCGTTGTTTCAATAAAATTGAACCAAAGGCTTCATCTTTTTGACTAAAAACTGGAAGTTCTAAAATCTGGAACTCGATTTTTTAAGAGTCGAACGTATTTCAGACTCGTATATAGGTCTTTTTTAGTTATTTTTTTTTCAGGAAAAGTTAAAATTTATTCAGGCTCAAGTTGACTTTTTTGCGGATTGACTTTTGACTTTTTAAAAGTTCAATTCATTTCCTTCGTTGGAAGGAAGGCAAACTCCACTATCGGATAGCAAAAGTGTAAAGATCGCCAAAAGCGTGATCGAATTCCAATTACGAAAATTGAATTTAATCATCAGTTTTCACAGCGAAATAAAAAGTTTACCTGTGATCTAGTTTTCTCAAATTGGGTAAAGTTAATAAAAAAGTGTCAATCATAAACTGTTTTCTAGAAATTCAAAGAATTTGAGACTATCTAATTTTTTAGGAATTCAAAAGTTTAGATTTTTTCAAAAAAAAACAGTCAGTTTTTTTTCTGTTTACTTGCGTGCATTGAGTTTTTTTGGACTGTCTGGGCTATAATTTTTGTTTGATAGCATTTCAGATGAGTTTGATAGCATTTCAGATGAATTCAATAAAAATATGTCAAAATCAAATCCAATCAGACAAAACGGAGTAAATAAGGTTTTATGACAAATAATTTTGAAATCAGCTGAAGTAGAAATTACAATTCAAGCCACGAAAAATCACGGTTGAGCGATAAAAAGAATCAAGTCAGCGCCGAAGTCTTTAGTTCACATCGTTATCCCAAAATTATGAATAATTGATCATTTTATTCGACAGCACACAGTCGACTTTTTATTCGACTCTTTGAACTCGAGACACCTAAAATTGATGCTTTGAACTTTCAAGAAGCGAGAAATTTCCTTTAAATCTACATTCAGAAATTAACTTTGCAAATCGTATTAAGCCCAAGAAAAAAGTTTTTCTTCATAAAACTATCCCAATCACAAAAAACAGAGTCAACAAGTAATTTTGGTTTTGCAGCTATGAATTCTGAAATTGAATTTTCATAATTGAAACAAAAAGTAATTCGTGTATTTGCAACATTTGTCTTTTTGTTATGGAAGAAACTAATGGCTTCATTTTGGCAAATGTCTTTGAAATTAAAATAATTATTTTAAATTGAAACGGCCAGAAACCACAATTGAGCGTGAACCGCCAACTTAAATAAAAGATAAAAATAGCTGCCGATTTTCTAATATGCGATTTTGCTACTAACGGGAAAAAATTACGTGCATTGTCTGCAATAGCAGTTGAGCAATAACGTTTGAGGTTAAAGCAGATTTATTTGTTTGCAAATTTTTTCTACAATAAAAACCTATATCGCTTTGCTCTATTCTCCAAATCAGATAGAAATGTAGCTATCAAATTTACAGCTTTAAACACAAATTCCAGCTCTCCAAGAGAGGTCTTTTACCGGGGTTTTTCATTGAACATCGAATTGAAGTATGCGGCTGAAATTATTTGATTTGCTTTTATTAACTATCTACTAATTAAAAAGATTTTCAAAAGTGAAATTGAACTTAGGTGCAAAAATGATTAGCTCTCCAAATCCTTCTTTGCTTGCTTGAAAGCCTTCAAGTCAATGCAATAACATCAAAAAATTCTTCATAGCTACGACATAATGTCTAAATTGTTGCACAACGTGGATACCAACTGAAAAATCTGCTAATAAAAAAAACAATTCGTGCAAAAAATTAGTTCAATTCAAAAAAAAAACTACAAATTGAAAAAATTTTTCCGTTGTTTAAACAAAAGAAAATAAAGCGTTGCCTTTCATTGGCTTATAACACATTGTTTTAGCAAGAAATTGAAATAATAGAGATCGGAAAAAAACTATCCGCTACTATTGCCGTAGCTACTGTAGAACACAGGTCCTCCGATAAAAAAATATATTGCATTTTGTATCAATTGCCGTTTAGGTAGATTTATCATCAATTTTATTGACTTGTATGCGTAATTGACTTGATTACAACATTTGACTTGATTACATTTATTGTTGAGTAACTGTTCTATGTAATTTACTGATTGATTTGGTTTTTTTTGCTGTTGTTTATTCTAAAATATTAAATGAACCAAAGTGAAGATACTGATAAATAAAACTTTTTGTGTAATGTGTGAAACTACTGTTTTTAGAGTAAGAAAGAAAATTTTCTTCAAATAATAACTCAGTTACTATTCTTTTCATTAAACTGACATACTACGTGATGTGAGGCAAACATTGTCTAGTGTACATATGACATTTTTATCAAATTTTATAACCTTCAACTAAGTCAAATCTTAAGATGCATGGAAAATTGTAATCAACCAATCAGATTGGACTACTTGTGCTCAATATTCAAAAAACACATTGAGACTTAAAATATTCAATTAAATTTGCAACGGCAGACAACTAAAACTGCATATATCAATAAATAATTTGACTGTTTTGCCCATTCGAGACAGTAAATAATTTTTAAAACAAAAAGTTTAGTGACATGTTTTTTTTTGTTTTTTCTATTCTATTTTGCATAATTGATCGAAATTTTTATGAAGTAGAAAACAAAGACTTGAATGCTTTTCAATAAACTGAGTATTAAGTTTTTAGTTTTTAAAAGATTAAAAATCTTATTTGGATTCTTCTTTACAAGAGAACTTGTTGCCTTATGAAAAAATAGAAAAAAACTTTGAACGTTTTTTTTAATCAAACTTGCAAAGAAAAATAAAAACTTTTAGAGCAAAATTGACTTTCAAAAAAGTTTTTAAAAAAAAGGTGAAAACAAAACAAGACTGCTCGTATCAGGACGAAGCCTTTAAAATTTTGACTGCCTTTAAGGTCTATGGTGCAGTTATAACATAAAAACTTAAATGTAAAAAAAAATAAAATGAAAAATTAAATGTTAAAAAATAAAATGTTTTTTTTTCTAAAATTAAGATTTTTGCGAAAATCAATCCCCACACGACATATAAAGTACAAAGTGATAGAATTACCTCCTAGTAAAAAACGATCTTTGGCAAATAAGCTTACTTCAACCATAATTGAAAAGGTTTCTAAGACGGATTAAGTCTCTGCTTACGCGTTAATAGCGCGAAATATATCGCTCGTTAATTGTACCAAATTGGCCAAATGGCAATCTTTACATTTTGATATAAAAAGTATTGAAATGAAAAAAGTCCCGCCAAAAACAGCTACTTAAAAAGTCGAAATTTAGGTAAAAAAACCCAGCCCGAACACAAATATTCCGTTATTTTCGTTACGAAAGTCGAAACAAAAAAAACTACTCATACAATTTATATAATGAGTGCTCTTCAGCGTAAAATATAACAAAAAATATTGAATTCTAAGAGCTAGTGCAAACTAAATTAATTAGAATGAACCAATTACTTTAGCTAGCTTGTTTGATGTTAGCTAGCATGTTTAACTTACTGTTTGATGTCAGCCAACCAAAAACAAGTACAGTGCCGATTTAAATTAATGGAACAAAACGAACAAAACTTCAATTTTCAAGCGCATTTTTCTCAATGTGGGGTTAGAGTAGACGAAAAGGGAAGAAGTTAAAAGTTGCTCAGATTTTCATCATGATTGATATGGTGCAATTACTCTTTCTCCGGAATTCTCAACCAACTCAACCAAAGTTTTATACTAAAAGTGGGTCATTGTTTTTCAATTAATCCAGAATTACGCTGAAAAAAAATATTTAATTGATGAGGAATAATTATCACAAGAAGCTTCTTACTCATCCCAACAAAATTCTGAAAGAGTTAAAGCTCCACATACCAGTATAAGAAAAATTTGTTTTGCTCGACAAACAAGAAATAAATAAAAACCCAATTACTAAAAAAAACCCAAAATCTTTGCCTAAAAACAATTTTTGTTAAACATTATACTCAATTTTTTGGAGATTCAACATTTCTGGAACTTTGCTAGGCTGTGAAAAAAACTTCTTGTGACAAGTATTCCTCATCAATTAACGAAGTAGTTTCAGCGTAATTCTTGATTAACAAACCAAAATCAACCATTTTTGGGGTAAAATTTTGACCGAGAATATCGGAGAAAACATTGCACCTTATCACTTCCGATAAATTTCTACGCCACTGATGTTCTCCTCAGTTTTTTTTTAATTTTAACCCAATTTGAGAAAAATGTATTTAATTTTGGTTAATTTTTTCCGTTAATTTAAATCAGCACTGTATTATTGCCGAGAGTCATGATGAAAATTGAACCTTCATGTCATTGAAAGCTTGAAACCAATAAAATAGACTTAAGTACAAATAGATTCAAATTACCCGCAAATAACCACAAAGTTGAGCTGGAAGTGAAAATTCCAGTATTTAAAATTTCGAACCTAAAAACCATTTTGCTTTTTTGAAACTGAATATAACTTTTGATAAGTTAGATTCAGGATTTGTTAGATTCAGGTATATCTTTTCATCTAATTAGTATAATCGATCAAAAATTTTTTCTGTAAAAATATAAGAATTTGATTCAACTATTTCGACTGAAAACAACTGTTTTTCAGAATTTTTTGAAGTATTTTTTTTTTGGAAAAAAAGTTGGTCAAAAAATTAGAAAAAAATTGTTAAAAAATTGAACTTTTGCGGAGGTGGAATTGGGCCAAATTTGCTAAGTCGACCCTGGCCCTAACCCGTAGCTTAAAAACGGATTGATGAAAATTGCGTTTTTTCTAAATGGCAAAAACGGGATCCTTCCGAGCTGGCAAAATAGGACCCTTCCAGATTGGCAAAAATAGGACCCTTCCGGCTTGGCAAAACTGGGAGCCATCCCAGTTGGCAAAAATGTGATCGACACTCTTCGGAAAGCCTCCTGATTGAAACTAAGCTTTATCAATTAACAATTACCTTTAACTGGGAGAGGTTTATTAAGCAGCCTATTCTCGATTTGCTTGTTAATTTCAAGGTTCCCTAACCCTTCCCTATCATCGAGAACAAGGTAAAAATGATTTATTGAACCGTTGCTACCGTCTGAAAAAAAAAGCTTAAATCGAGATGAGTTTAAC